GCATCCCTACAAAGCCGGGACGGAGCACGCCGGGTTCTCACCGGACCAGGCTCTCACATCACCAAGCGCGCAGCGCCGTGAGATATTTGGGGAGTCGCATGAAGGGTGCGCTGCATCCTGCTTAGGGTGTTCGGCACCTTGTGCTTACTTCCTTGCGCACAGGACGGGACGGAGGGGAGAAAACAAACCAAGCTGAAGGCGTNTCTCGGCAGAGAAAGAGTGCGGTGCCTATGAGTGTGGGCTGAGTGACACTAGCATTCACCACCTTTTTTTTTTTCACCCTTTTCCGTGCCTGTGCCTCGCCGGTCTCGTGTTCCCGCTCCTGCCCACCCACCAAACCAGCCCGTCCCGTCCCGACTTCTTATTCGAGATTCTTCGTCATGACCTTTGCTTCTTCTCCTTTTGCTCCCGTGCTCCGTCCTCTCGAGGACGCGTGGTCAATGGTCTAACCGCTAAGGCATGCACGAGTACGAGTACGCCCCCCCCTCCTCCCGTCACGGGGAATGTATAGAAAAGCTGGGGGAAACGTTTTCGAGCCACCTTTGGCAAAGTAGGAAGGAACGATTAGCCATCAGTGATCGGTCGGTTCTGTGGGGACAACGCTCCATCCTCTCTGGAAAGCGCGTGGTCAATGGTTTTACCGCTGAGGCATGCAAAACATAAGTACGCTCCCCCCCCCTCCCCCCCCTAACCCTAACCTATTCGGACAAACCCCATATATAAGTAATTCTTGGCAGTTTCGCCACGCTTGGGCGGAGAGCTGGTCAACACTCACCTCCCTTCGGCGCTAAAGACAGAATCCCCCTCACCTTCAGCTAGACAGAAAGCTGATCTAAACTCTGACCTACTCATCCAAAATTACATCCATGATCCCCCCCACTCCACCCCAAATCCCGTCCGCGTCCGGCGGCAGAGCCTCGGGCCAAGCTGACCAGCTAGCCCTGTCGCGGTTGCTGTCGTTGTCAAGCCTTCGGGGGGGCGGGGGGCGGGGGGAAGACGTGCGGTAGCAGCTAGGTCAATATGGAGCTAGGCAAGTGAGTATACTGTGCACGATATATAACCTATTACGGTTTGCATGCCCCCTTGTTTGACTGGACCCTTGTGCTCCCTACCCAATGTAGGGTCTCGCTGTACCTGCTTATGATGTTCATTTCGAGCTTCATCAACGCGTCACGCTAGGCATACCCCGTCCTTCGCTCACCATATTCAAGCCGCCGCTTTGCGCACTCTGTTGCCCCTCCATTCCACCACTGTTGTGCCCCCCGCCGCCGCCGCCCGCCGCCATCATCCCCATACCTCCGCCTGCGCCACCCATCGCCGCCGCTGTCCGTTGCTGCTGCATCCGCTGCATCTGCATCTGCTGCTGCAACAACTGCAGTTGATGTAGTTGCTGTTGCTGGGCTAGTTGCTGGGCTAGTTGCTGCTGCTGCTGCTGCTGCTGCTGCTGCTGCGGCTGCCGCTGCTGTTGGGACCTTTGTTGCCCCGCGGCAACGCCTCCTCCTCCCGCCGCCGCCCCCGTCATCATGCCAAGGTTCCCAACACCGCCTTGGCCTAGCCCCCCACCCCCCTCTCCAAGCCCCATAGACCCAAACGCATCCGAAACCTTGTCCACTGTTGCTTGTCCTCCACCCCATGCTGCTGCCCCCGCTCCCCCGAATCCACTCCCGGCTAATCCCACGCTGCCACCCTGCGAACTTCCCATCGTCATGCCCCCCCCCCCTTCCTGTGTTGCCACTCCGCCGATGCCCCCAACAAGCCCTGCACCACCGCCGCCACCGCCGCCGCCACCCTGCTGTCCCTTGCTGAGCATAAGGATCCGGAGCTGCTCGAGCTGCTGCTGCTGCGCTTTGAGCTGTTCCGCGAGCGCGGCCTCTTTTCCGGCGCGCTGCGAGCGCGCCGGGGCCCGTTGGGGGGACGACGGGAAAAGCCCATGGGAAAAAAAAGCATGCGGGGACGGAAAAAAGCAACAGTCACGTACGATAAGAAGGTGGAAAATGGACAGATATTCTACATGTGTAGCAGATACTCTTTGCAGAGTGGAGTAAAAAAAAGGGGGGGGGGCATAGCGGCAGTGGAGAACTAAACGAACGGCAGCAGAAAGCGGCGGGGAGAGATAATGGGAAAGAGAAGAGCCGTGAGGTAACCTTGGGTGCTTCGAACGGGAGGTTCCCCCAGCTCGATCACAGCCTCTGGGGAGCAACACTCTAGAAGAACACACGCACCAGGCAAGGCGGCCGGCACAGGCGGCGCCTGAAACCGTCACGCACATGAGGGAAGGAGCAAGCGAGACAAAGGGCTGGGGGGTTCGACTAACCGCTCTCAAGCCCGGGCTCACCCCCAAAGAAAACGACACGGCTTCAGAACCAAGGCACACAAGGTGCGGGGACGAATCGCAGCATCACAGGACGAAACAAGTTTGGGAGACCACAAGAGCGAAAATGCGTTCCCATGTATGCCGTTAGGCAACAGGGAGAGCTGGGAACACTGGTTGGGCTAGAAATTCTCACACAGGACTGCTGTGTGCAATACCAACAACCTCACTCAAGGTGTGCATTCGTCTGTCTACATCCGGCTCCCAGGCAAAAATCTCAACCGGATTCGCTCCTTTCGAGTACCGCGGCTTGCCAGCGAGCGACACACGTGGTATGCACACATGGATTCACGCCGCCTCGTTGTTGCTGCTGTGCGCTATGGAACAACCTCATAATGTGTACACCCGTCTCTCCACATGCGGCTACCAAGTAAAGTCCCGAGCCCACCAACCTGGCCAACTCACAACTAGGTCTTGGGCCTCCGGCACGCTGGCCGTGGGCGTGGTCTCTCCGCCGATGTCTAGGTCTAGTAGGTCCTCCGCCTGGGCCTGTATGCCATGCCATGCCATGCCATGCCGTCGGGCGGGTGTGACGGTGACGGTAGAATGAGAACGGAGGTCGCCGGCGAGGGGTGGGAAAGGGGTGAAACAAAGAACAAGCGGGTCAGAACAGACGTTTTGTCTCCTGGTAGCACGGTCGACACCATCGCTCAAACCCCACACACATCTGTCTGGACACACCCACACCCACACCTGTCTGGTGTGGTCGCTGTCTTCCACCCCCTGACTTCTGTTCCTGGGGTCGGCCTTGTCATCGAAGTAGCGGTCAGGTCTGCCCTCGTACAGACCGGGGACCTGCTTCAGGTCGAACTTGGCACCCATGGAGCCTTGTGGGACGATTCCGAAAGCATCGTCCTGCATCGGTTTCGAGGTTCAAAGGGTAAACGGGTGGACAAGGTCAGGGACACCGTCGCCGGACATGGTTGTTAGAAGCAGGCGGTGAGAATGAGTTGCGCAGGAGCTCACTTTCCTATTTTGTTCTGTTCTTATCTGGAGGCTAGCGGGATTGATATTCACCATTGAAAGTTTGTGGTGATAGAAGACCGACCCTCTCTGAAGGCAAGAAGAATTGATTCATCGTGGAAGTTTTGCTGTCAATAGACCGGCAGCGTTTGGGATGTATGTACGTGTGGGCGGCCAGGACAGCAGTGGGTTGTGGGAGGGGGTTGAAGGAAAATCAAAACCACGGTAACACCTAGAACACCCGCACACCCCGGTAATCGACCTCCCAATGACAGAACCAGCAACAGCAGCACCAGAACCAACACCAGAAGCAACGAAGGCAACGACAAAAGCAAACGACTGCGACGATAACAAAGATGAATGCGCTGCGGCCGGGCGGCAATACGTATCAACAAACGATGACCGACCGCTCTACGCATCAAGCCACCTTTTAAGAGAGCGTGGGAGCACGGCGTTGGCCCGCCAAAATACCGACATAAGTTAGCACACCCCTTTGGACTAACTTTCATGGGTCAACTGCTCCACGACAAAAAGGATTTACACATAACGTTCACGGTAAAGCTCTCGAAGAGACGGCTCCAACGCCACCGGCACCGCCACTCTCCGTGTTGTGGAGTAATCGAGCTCGGTCCACGGGGTGTGGTGTCACCTACGGTAAGCATACTACTCACAATGCCGAGGTCTATCCCTTTGGCCTTAACGGGAGCCTTGTAGTCATCCGGGGCACCCATCGGCAGCAGCGCGTCCGGCGTCCTTCCCTCCTCCCTCGCTTCTCGGATCGCATCCGAGTCTTTCAGCAAGTCGTCCAGCTATGAAGGCGGTAGGGCGATAGGGGAATGGGGAGTGCGCGGGGTTGGGACACAGCGAGGGGTAGGGGGGCACAAGCGTTCACCACGTGCGTTACCCTTGCAGTGATTCGCCGCTCACCGAGTCGTTTCNGGGGGGGGGGGGGGGGGGGGGGGGGGGGGGGGGGGGGGGGGGTGTTGGGGGGGGGGGGGGGGGGGGGGGGGGGGGTCACCGGCGAGGTAGCTTTGGAGCTCTACGTGGAAAGACAATGCTGCACAATCCGCCAAGCATCGACAAAACACAACAGCCACGCCACAAACAGCAAGAGCATGACAAGGCGCTTTGGCTGAGCTGACGGCAAGGCGATTTGGCTGACGTTCGGCTACAGCAAGAAGTAGCACGGCCAACAAAAAACAAAAAACGAACAAAAAGCAAACTTACAAAAAAACAGCCAAAAGCAAACTAGAGCACATTTCCCTCTTACCTCCGCGGCGGCCTCTCGCACGGGACCCCCGAAGTCCGTGCCGCCTCCATTCAACGCCGAGGTGCGCCCGTGCATGGCAGAGTTGTATCGTCTCAACTCTTCTATCTGTTGCAGCGGGAGGATCGTTTGGGCGGGACAAACACGGGTACGCAGTAGGGGTGAGTGGGTGCTGGTTTTTGCTTCCTATTGCTCTCCAGTCGCTGGGGTCATGGGTAGAAGCATCTTGGTCCACTTGTAACGCTCGAACGCTCCAATTTGCGAGACGATCATCGCAAGCGGCATTTTCCTAAGTATCGATCGGAGACTAAAAAACAATTCGCAAGACGTCCTGTACACGCCGTAGCCCCCTCTACCGACCGTTTCCCTCATGGGGGAGGGGTCGGGGTCAACGGTCAAGAGAGAAAAGGCAAGCAACAAAGGTGTCTTCGCCCCTCCTTGATACCCCATCGCTACAGCCGTAGACCACGACCCTACCTCCTCGGAAGATCCGCTTTGACACCAATCCGACTTGATAGGACGGGATTCCGTTTTACTTACAAGGGAAGACGGGTTCTTCGTGGAAATTACATCAACGTGCATCAGCGTCGTTCTCCCACCCCCCCTCCCCAAGGAGCCTTTGGCGAAGTGTAGGAAGGACCGCTTGGCCATCGGTGATCGATCCTGCGGGAACAATGCTGCGTCCTCTCGAGGACACGTGGTCACAAGCCTAACAAGTAAGGCATGCAAAACATTAGTACGCCCCCCCCCCCTCTGCCCAAGGAACCATACACAAAGAACGCTAGTGTGTGGCATCCCTCACCAGTCGCTGATGATCCCAGGCGTGGTCCACACATCTCTCCGCACCGTACAGGACGAAGTGGCGGAGAAGTCTGACCGCCTAGTCCAAGAGAGATCGATCAGGAGCATCCACAAACGGCAGTAGAGGGCATCATCATCATCATCATCATCAGCAGCAGCAGCAGAAGAGCCTCGACAGCAGTAGCATTCGATGGAAGTGGCATCCCAGCCAGTGACACAGCGACAGGCAGCGAGCGACAGCGCATTAAAATAACGTTGCCACAACGCAAAATATAAATGCAACACTGCACCGTACCTCCTCCGAGAAAAAACCGACACGACATGTAAAACCAAATTTCTTTCTCTTGGCTACCGAAGCAAAACGATCTATATCCCGCAATAAAGATTGATTTGTTGTGTCACGTAAGAGCAAAAAAAACATATATTTCCAGCAACAGGAGCAGCTCAGGGTACACGAATAGCGAAGAATCCATTACACACTACTGTTGCCATAAACAAAACCGGCTCCTTCCTCACCAAGGATGATGACCAGCGTCTGGTTCATCCTTGCGAAACGTAACCTGGGCCGGCACATCGCCCCTCCTTCCCGGCGATGCGAGTTCAACGGTCTAACGACCTCGGCATGTATTTCTGCACCCCCCCTCCTCCTCCCCCCCGGTGTTTACCATCGGGGTTGGGTTTTCGTCGCTTGACAAAGACGTTGTAAAACAAGCCGCCCTCCCCGGTGTTTGCCATCGGGGTTGGATTTTCGTCGCTTGGCAACGACGTTGTGAAACAAGCCAACTCACTTCGTGAACTCGGCAACCAGGTTACCGTTTTTTTTTACCTCTGTTTTTTTTTGGCGGTAACCATAATGGTGGTCGAGTGGATCATGTTGTGCGGGGTCGAGAAGCCTCACTCCGCGCAAGGGGGATGATCGCACCACGTTGTGTTAAAACGGTCAAGCACCCTCGAG